TGTGTGGCAGCTTTTGTTTTGTCGAAGAGAAGTAGGTGGGCTGGGGACACTCTTTTGTGTTTAAGATAACATCATGAAAGAAGATAATGACAAGCTGTGAATCTTGCAAAGCGTGACCTTGGTTGCCACAAAAGCGCAAATGCAGCAGACCCCTCAGACGTCTGGAAGACAGAACAGAAAACAAACATTTTGAGTCATCAGAGTTGTTAAAACCGTTCCCAGGAGACTGTTGGGAGCAGCTGAGCGTCTGCTGCCAAACCTGGGCTTCAGCACTAAAAGCATTTTCAGCTTATGGTAATCTTTCGTGCTCAAGCAGAGGGAGCCTAAGCACTAGCAAATGTTAATGGCCTCAGGGGTTTTGACCATCCTGGATTTTCCACTGGTCACTGGGACAGTACCTAAGGAGGCTTAATGGCAGTGAGGAGAGGCGTTGGTTTGTGGTTTTATAACTGCATTAGTGCTTTTAAATGTTAAGAGTCGGAGATCTGAGGGATGCCTGGTTTTGACCACCCTTCTGTATTTTAGGCATACAAACCTTAGGAGTGCAATTGAGGCGGGGGAGGGAATGTATATTACTAATTTCCCTAGAGAAAATGTGAATTTTTCATAAAAAAACAGTACAGGTAAGTTAATGAAATAACTAAAAAGGCTTTTTCTCAGCTTAGCTTCTTGCAGTTTAGCTGTGGTTTTTGTTTTTGTAGCAGATTAGGTGGAAGAAAATACTTTTACTTTCCTGTGTTACTGGTACAGCCCCATTATGTTTTTACTTTGTATTAGGTAGCATTACTGTGAAGTTATATGATTCTGAAGACAATTTCATGTCTTAATAAAGAAGTTTCTCTGGAGCGCTGTGTCCAGTTTTGGGTTCCCATTGCAAAGAAGATGTAGATGCATTGGGGTGTGTCTAGGGAAGATGGTGTGGGGGAGTATGTGATGATGAGCAAGGAGGAGCTGAGAGAACAAGGCTTGTTTGGTGTGGGGAAGGCAGAGATCAGGAGTCTCAGTGCTGCCTTCAGGCACTGGGGAGGGTTCAGAGAGAGCAGAGCAATTCTTGGAGGTGCACGGTGATAGGACAAGAGGCAATGGGACTAAGCTTCAACAAGGCAAATTCTGCTTAGATACCAGGAAAAAGAAGAGGAAGAACCAACTGATGTCATATGAGCATCTCTCTGGCTGGAGGTGTTCCTTGGGCAATGTGCTGAGCCGCTGTCTTTAAGCTGACCCTGTGCAGAGCTGGTGATTGGACCAGGCATCTCAACATGTTCTTTGGAATCTGCATTGCTCTGTGATGTTGTTCAGCTAAGCCTGTCCCAGGTGGGCTATGGACGGGCCCTGGTGTGGATGACTTCTGTTTATTTGGACAGTGCATGGTTATACGCAAAGAATGTTTAACATGCCAGCTGGTAAAGACCAAACAGTGAAGTGTGGCAACACGTCTGGTGAAAACTGCTCTGTTTTAGCCACATGGAGATTTAGCTTTTACACTTAGTTATGAAGGATACTGTTTTTAAGGCAAGATATAGAGCAAGACAGTAACGATTGTTCTAACTTTTAATGTGTTGGCCTGTGGTGACTGTGTACATCCAACTTCTGTACATCTGGTATAGATGATGTATTAACTGAAATTTCCATTGGTTAAAAAGCAAATAGTTGGTTGTTCATTCCGGACTTCTCACTGTATTTTTAGATTTTGAAGAATTTTACATCTGTTCATCTGTCCTATGTGGAATTGAAGCAGATGGGCCAGCAGCAGATTGGAAGTTACCCTGTTCACTTTCACCTTTGTGGGGACGTAGATGAAAAAGGAGGTTATAGTTTTAAGACTTACCTGGAAGGTCTTTCCATTCATCACTGTTTTTCCAGATGTGTGACTGTTCATGGAACTAATGGCTTGCTGGTAGGTGCAAGGGGAGTAAAACATGCTATGTTGAAATAACTGTTATAAAGATCATCTAGAGCAAAAAGAGTCGCCTCCCTTCTTCAAGTTTAAGGCTCAGCAATGTTTTTTTATTGCAACGAATAAATGAACAAGTGCAAAGAGTAACTTACTTTTAGCAGATCTCAACATTCCGTTTTTTCAGATTCTTCCAGGCAGCTAAGCTATCCAGGCAGAGTAGTGTGTCTGTAAGGGATAAACAAAACTGTACACTTGAATCATCTGAACTGCTGATACTGAAGCTTCACTCTGCAGCTGTGCCAAGATAGTAAAACTAAATGGTACTTGTCAAATAAATCTCAGTAAATGCTATTGCTACTGACATAATGAACTTGTATTTCTGCAGATAAAGGACACCATTGGCTATGACACACTAGGTCACTGTTTCTTCACAGAAGACGGCATTGAGCAGAGGAATACTTTTTTCCACAACCTTGGGCTAGTCACGAAACCAGGCACTCTTCTTCCTACAGATAGAAACAGCAGCATGTGTATTGGTATTAGGGATAAAGTGTATGGAAGTTATGTCCCAGTGCCAGCCACAGACTGCATGTGAGTATTTCACGGTAGGAAAGTAAAACCAGCTGCAGCAGTTGAACTACTGATGATCTCTTGACAATATACAGATGGGAACATTTTTAAGCTAAAAAACAAAAAAAAGAATTTGCATTTAGTCTTTTATTAAAGAGGAAAAAAATAAGTTGCTTAGTAGGGAGATTGCTGGGTTTTGTGATACTTGTTCAATAGACTTCTAAGGTCGAGTATTTACTTCTGTGTAAAGGCATGCACATTCTCAAGTTGTCACTGCTAGTTTTTCTGCATACTACTAATCTCCTGTAGAAGCTTATTAAAACAGTTTATCATTGCACAGAGTATCTGAACAACATTAAATAAAACACTGTGCATTGAACTAAAAAAAGAAGCACTTTTGACTCATAAACGGAGAAGGTCGTGGCTTTTATTTCATATGTGAAGTAGTGATGTCAGACAAAGTTTAGCTTTTTCTGATGTGCTTGTTACGAAGGGGAGCTATTTCTATAGGAGCTAGAGCTTTTCCATAATAACTTCTTTCTGACTAATGTTGCAGGGCAGTTTCGACGTTCTGGATTTCTCATCCCAACAATCATCTTATAAATAATGCAGCAGCAGGTTCACAGGTGAGGCATATGGATGTAATTCAGCACAAACTACTCATGCCACTGGTATTTGAAAAACCTGTAACATTTGCACTGCCAAAAATACATACATTTTTCTTTTTTATTTATGAATATGTTCATTTTATGTTTGGCAGCATATTGGCATTGCAAGTGCGGACTTTGTCTAAGCGTGCATTTAAGAGATGCCAAAAATCTTTTTTCTGGCTGGATCAGAGGAGATATCTTCTTTTTTGTGGTTAATAGACCTGACAATAGTGTCAGTGTTTGTATATAGAGATAAATCCTTTTATTTCCAAAGAACTAGTGCATTTCACGTTAAGGCTTCTGTATTTTCTGTGGGTTGTCTTGAGTTTACTGTGTGACTGCTATGGAAGATTTGTCTCATAGGTGTAGTCATTGGATGAAAAATGACTACCAAAAAAAGGTTCATTGTGTCAGAAACAGGTAAAACACTTTTATTGTCAGTCGTTAGTCATTTGTTTCCCATCAGTGACTGTTGATATGTTTTTACTTGTTGTGAACCTTATATTAGCTTGTCACAGCTGCTTGTGAAGTAAAGCTGAACTACTCAGTGCGTGTTGTGGAGGAGGGGGCTGGAGTCTGTTCTACGTTGGACTAGAGGCTGAGATGTGCATGGTTTTGAGTGGATTTTTCTGAAGAGATCAGTGAGAATGGAAAAACAGGAAAGATGGTGGTGGTGGTTGTTGTTGCAAAGGCTCCTATGCTGGAAGTAGAATATGCCTGTGTGTCAGTGTATTCTTAGGCGCAGAATACATAATAAACCATAATAAACTGTTATTAATAGAACAGAATTCAAAATATTTAAATGAATTGAGATATCTAGAGTATAAAGAAAGTAATAAGAAAATTTTCTTCTCCTTTTTGTGAGGTCTGGCTTTTTTTTCTTTTTGGACAAACTTTTCTAGTTAACTGCCGACTCCCAGGAAGGATCTGGACACACTTATTGAATCAAACCAATTCTTGTCTTCCCAGTGCAATGTCTTTCCGTTTTGCCTGCTTTATGTAATATTCCTTTACCTTATTTCAGCATTGCAGACAAAGGAAACGGCTTCCTTGATCTGGTGCTTAAAACCTGCAAGGTCTTTTTCTGCCTCTGTAGTGTATCCCAGCAAACATTGCTTCCTTTTGCTAGTAGAATGTGCGTGGTCAGAGCAAGCGTTTGTGTACGTTATGACATTCTGCCACTCTGGCATACCACCCTTGCATGGGTGTAGACACATTAGTATAAAGGTTATTGTGTTTCAGAAACAGAATACTTTAACTGTGTTGATAAAAACTCTGTGCTGTAGAGCTTTTGCTGATATAAACTATAGCAATTCACAAGCAAATAAAATAATTCCATTGCCTCCCCCCCATTTCCTTCATTACACAGTGAAGCCTATTGTAAGGGTATATCAGCAATAGATGTTTCTTTTGTTTGAGCTGGGGCAGAGAAACCGTTTTCATTTTTCTGTATGCTTGCAAGTGCTTAAGGAGCTTTTGAGTTTATTAAACTTTTTTCCAAGCATTAGGATGTGTTTTGGATAAAAATTGCTTGAGTCTGCCAAGCAAAGAGCTGTATTTAATTATATGTGAAGTAAGATTTTGGTATTTTTATTAATGGAACATCCACAGTTGCTTTGGAATTGTTAATCACCAGAAATGTCAAAGTGTGTCATCATGACGGATGTGAATATGTTACTGAGAAGCAGAATTTCCGGGACTGTTTGGAAAATGAGTACACTCTCCGAGTGAAATGCGTGAAATCTTTTAAGCCGGAGTGAATTGGCTTTATCCACGTTTCTTGAACAGGAGAGTGACTATTTTTCATGAAATGGAGCACTCAGTATGCAGTGTTTCTTTAGCTACTGTTTAACCCTCTAATGTGCCTTATGGAATGATTTTTTTTTTTTTTATAAGGGCACAGATCATGTGGTCAGACAAATTTTTTCATGTGTGTAGGTATCTGCCATGCAGGTGCTGTTGCAATGTCCCCTCTTGTGAACCCAGATGTGTTTGAAATGGGCACTTTTATAGGTCTCATTTAGCAGATAAATCCAGCTTCTTTTAAGAGTAGGAATGTTGAAGAAGTGGAGAAAATGAACAGATGCTGAAATTATTACTACATGTTATTGGCACAGTGCTCTGAACTGGCCAGACTTCTTGATGTGCCTTTTTTCCCTTCTTCTGAAAGCTCTTGTGGGTTTTTTGGCTGTGTCATTAAATTCTGATGTGAGCAGAGATGAACAAACCTTAGTCAGAAAGTAACAGTAAGGATGAGAGGAGAGATTTTGAATATTTTACTGTAAATGGTATGTTTTATTAGGAAACAAAGGAAAAGCAAATGTGTGTGATGAAATATAACTGAAATGCAAAAATTACATTAACTCTGACACTATTCTGATTTGAAATATTAGGGTGTCTTAAATGAATATGGTGTTACATGGCTTCACTGAGAAGCTAAACACTTTTTATTGCATATTATTCACTAGAATGTAGCCTTATTTGCAAACTTCTGCTTTCTCACTGAGCAGTTGTTTGAAGTCTTTATTTTAAAAAATACATTCCGTTGTGCACAGTGTAGGTTTGGGCATGTTGTTATTTGCTTCTTACTTAAAACATCCAAGTGCAACTTAGCATACATGTATTTTCCTATTAGATACTTCAGCACCGATAGTAGTATCGGACTCACTTAAAACTAATGTCATTCTCTCCTTACTTGCAGGATGCTGGAATATGGTATTTGTTCCACAGGGTTGCTACAGGAGATTCTCATAGCTTAGCCATTGAAACCAAGTCAGAGCTTACACCCCTAGGAATCTTCTATAACAACAGGGTTCATTCAAATTTTAAGGTAATGTATTATGTAATTAAAAAAAAAAATATTTATAACTATCTTATTAGGACTTGTCTGTTTACATTTTAAGCTGATTAGGTGACGAATTCATGCTGTGTTTAAACTGCATGATTCTTTCTGGTCATTGTAGAACGGTGTTTAATCAGCATGTGTATAGTCTCTTGCCATGTTTCAAGTGTTCACTGTTTAATATCTTCATAAGGCACAAACAACTAAAACCTACTAATACTTCTAATGAGAACACATTTTCTCAGAAGTAGTATTTCAGGTGCTACTGTCTTCCAAACAGCATTGTTTTCTACTCCGAAGAAAGCTGACCCTTAAAGCATCAAAGTTTATAACAGTTGTGATTCATCTAACAGCTTCCTGGAGTAGCTGAGACTTGTTTTCCTGAGTCTCTAATGTACAGTAACTCAGGTATTTGAATATTGTGGCACAATCTTGGACTAGAGATTAAGCTTCCAGATTGCCTTCAGGAGCCCAGCCATTGGCAGCAGTTTTTTGTTAGAGGGTTCTCAGCCTAGATACAGTCATTCAGTGTTGTTTTATTAATGTGGCTTTAGTATCTTTTCCGCATTCAACTAAGTGAAGTTGAAGTCCTTAAATAAATTATTCCATTTGGAATCTAGCTGCTCTGTGTGTTTGTGTGTGTATATATAAATACATAATTACATTTACAAGCCACCTAGCTTTAAATATTTATTTGTGTTTGAAGTTTGCGTCATAAAGCTCAGGATCATTATTGGATTTTTTTTGCCAAGTGAAACTGATTTTACTTGACAGTTGGATGTCTGGGATACCAAGAAATGATGCACTGTTTTATAGAAGTTTTGTTAATGGTGTGTTTAGGACTGTGGGGCATTTGTTGAGACTGGAATTAAAACATACTGAATACAAAAGTGCATTGTAAAGAAAAAAGTGTTTCAACTGTATGGCTCATATTATCTTTAAATAAGGGTAGCATTTTGTGTACTAAAATTCCGTGTTAAAACAGCAAACTCCGCTAGCAGGTCTGATGATCTACTCATGTAGGAGCACTCAATTATAATCATAATTTGGATCAGAGATGAAAGTAGCTGGAGATATTCGTACATGTAATTCAGGTTAAATAACACAAATGCTTCCTTCTATTTTCTCAAGTAAATTATTCATACTGGATTGTTGCGTTTCAAGTTGATGATTGCTTGGGTGAAAATCAGCTTCAGTAGTGAAGGTAGTTGAGTTTTAAAGTGAAATACAAAGCATTTTTCACAGTGGTACTTTTGTTTCCCCCTGCCCCCCTGACGTTTTTCAGAGTATTTTGAATTCGCCACAAGATTGGCTTCTAGATTTTTCCAGAACAGCATCTGGAAATAAGTGTAAAACCTCAAATAATTAGATATTGTGAAAGAAATCTGAAATGAGCTTTAATGGTTTTCCATTACTTTTTTTTTTTTCAATCCCAAGCAATTATTTTTCTCTGCCCAAATTAGCATAGACAGATGCTGTTTTTCCCTTAGACAATTTGTCAATTAAGACCAAACCGAAAGATCTAAGAGTTTCTAATACACATATTGAAGGCAATGTAAAGTTCAAATTTTAGAAATTTAATGTTTACCTGTAGTTTTGGATAATATCAGTTTTCTTTCCTTGCTTGTTTCAGGCTGGTTTGTTCATTGATAAGGGTGTTAAAACAACTAATGCTAGCGTTGATGATCCCAGAGAATATCTTTGTTTGGACAACAATGCAAGGTAAAGGATACTGTCTTTCAAGTGAGTGAAAAGTGGCAGAGTTCTGAGATTGCTCTTACATTCACGTGAGGAAAAACATTTTTAAAACAATATAGTTATTTATAAATAATAAACAAACAATAGGTTCATATATGTTTTTTTCCCTCATTTGTTCATCTGCTTTGGGAGCAACGGAACAGGGTGTGTCTTAAAGGAATTGGCTGTTTCTTCTGAGCCCTTGCTGAGGGTAATTTTCAGTCTCTTAGAAGACTTCATTTTAAATATGCTCTGTGGTCATGCTTAAAGTATTTTCTGGAGTTGCTGCTAAAAGTAAAGCCTTGCTTTAAAATCTCCTTTTCTGATTTATGACTTGGTCTTAAATAGTTGTTAGAAAAAGCTTAATAGAGCCAAGTAATACGTCCACTTGCCTATCCTACTGCTGAATGCTTCCTGCTGTGCCTTCTAGACTTGGAGATCATAGCTCAGTGGTAGTTTTACTGAAGGCTGCAGAGATAGTACAATCAACTACATTTTTCTTTAATTTACAAAGCAAGAAAAAAATAACGGAGAGTCTAGGAAAAATCCAGGTTACACTGTACCTAGTTAGTCTTGTCCTGAACTTCAAATAAAATAGCCTGGGATAGCGGTCAAGTGACAATGTTGGAAACTGTATCTGTCAACATTTTATTGTGACGACTAAGCATTAGGACTGAAAATATAGTTCGTAAGATTATTGTCATTTCTGATTGACCTGTGTTTGGGATGAGAATAGTTAAGTGGTAGTTGCAGATGCAGAGAGGAACGTTCCCAATTTTGGTGATACCTAATACTTCTGAAAACGAACTCGCTAGTTTGAAGTTTTGACAGAAAACCCATATAATGCTTCTGGATTACCTCAGTCATAACAGGTAGTCAAGAGGCGTATATAAGAGACAAAATGCCCTATTAGAGCCTGTAGTCTGCTGACAGGGCATCAACAGAGGATGGGAGAAACCCAGTGCATGAGATGATGTTCATGTTTCACAGCAGCCAAAGAAGTCGTTAATGAGGTACTCTGTAACTACATGAGGCCACTAATCATTGTACCTGGAACCCAACTAGAGGGGTTTAAACATTGACTAGGGAGCCTGAGGACTGTCAAAAACAAACGTTCACCCATTCTCCCCTCCCTTCCCTGAGGGGGAAGCAGGACAGATCCAAATTAGAGTACAAGGTGAATCGAGCTAAGGGGCATATATATTTTTACCCTCTCAAAATGCGTTTTTGTAGATTTTTTTTTAATGTATTACTTTTTCTCTGAATCTTGGGGATAATCAAATGAAAGTTTCCACCAGTCTTTAATCAGGCTGTTTCTTCCTGTTGTCTAAAATAGATTCCAGCCATAACTTACCATGAGACCGTCTTGGTAGCAATGCAGAGTATCTGAGTTAGAACAGAAAAATATCTCAGGTGTGCTCAAAGGAGGAGCACTCCTCAGCATCAGAAGAGTTTGAAATATTTGAAGGAGCAGTTAGATAAACCTCCAAACTTTTTTCGTGTGGTGCACGTCAGCCCTGTGTATTCTTCTGAGAAGCTTTAATTCCCTCCATCAAACTTTCATGTTTATAAATGGGGAGGGAATACTTTGGGGAGGGCAAAAAGAAAAAGCAAGGGGATAAAAGGAGGTGAGATGCAGTTAAAAAAAGTTAGAGAGATTGAGCAAAAGCCTATGAGAGTTACTGGAAAATAGGTTTCATATTTGTGCTTCATTATAGCCAGAAGACACTTTTCTAGAAATAGAGAGCTAGAGATGCACCTCATTTTGGCTTCTGTCATTCCAAACATGAAGCAGAGTGGATTTTGCCCATTAGATGAGCATGAATGTTTATCTTTTAGGCTCTCTCAGTCCAGCATACATGACACGTGTAAAACAAATAGTATTCTTGTATTGAGTGTTTGGGTTTTCATCTGTTGCAGGTTTCGACCTCATCAAGATGCAGACCCTGAAAAGCCCCGAGTTGCTGCCCTGATTGACAGATTAATCTCTTTCAAAAACAATGACCATGGGGCTTGGGTCAGGGGAGGAGATATCCTCATTCAAAACTCTGGGTATGTATCCGGAAGCAAACAGCTGCATGTTGTTAAGAAGCTTCGCCTGAAGCTTTGTTTATGAAAGTGCATTACGACAGGGTTATAAGAGAAGATTGGTGCTTAACTTGAACTTCTTCAATATCTTGAATGACTTTCACTCCATCCCACTACTTTAAATGAAACAAGTTTATATGTGATCAGCTGAGAACCTGCCTCAAAAGGCAAAAAGAAACTATGATTAAAAAAAAAAAGTCTAAGAGTTGGTAGAAACAGCAAGTTTATACGGAGGTATCTATAGTTTCCCTGAAGCTCTCATGTTCCTGCTTAAAATATATAGAAAATTACTTGATTTTTTTTTCAACAGCAATGTTGTTATAACAATTATTATGTATGTAGTGGTTCTAAATTCAATTAATAAAAAAATTCAGGTTTTCTTCAGTGCATAGCAGGATGTGCTCTTACAGTAGCTTGTTGTAGGATAATCCAGCAAATATGACTAAAGCTTTGAACTTTCTTTCAGGTTTGCAGACAATGGAATAGGTTTGACATTTGCTAGGTGAGTACTGTGTTAGTCACTTCTGTTTTTTCTTGCCTAGAAGCTTAGAAAATATGCATCCATCTATTAAAAATAATAGATATACATTCATAAGGCTATAATTTTGGTTTTGGGCACAGTTCTATTTCCAGTGGTAGGGATGACGTTATAAAGGCTGTAAACTGACACAGCTGACAAAGCTTGTACTTTAATTCAACCTGTGCTTGGTTTACACTGCAATTTGCTGCCCCTTCACCTGAAGAGTGATGTTTATCTAGATATTTTTGTTATTGTATGATTCCTTAGGCAGTTTTGCCTTTCCTCCTGAACAGTTGAAAATGAGTAATGGAAAAGGAGGCATGAGCCTTTGGAGGGGGCAGAGTCTCTTTCTAATAAAAAAGAATCAAGTAACTTAGGTAGTAAGCCAAAATTACTTAGGTTATGACAAACTGGTTGTAGGGTTGCAAAAGTGGGCTGTAAAAGAAAGTGTTGCACTACAAAGGGAGATAGAAAATTTAATTCTTGGCTCTGTGTTGACATTTCAAACCGCCTTTTGTACTGTTAATGATTAAATTTATTGTTCTGTGTATTGTAAATGAAGTCTAGACTGCTCTGCTTTAGGAAGACTGTTACAGAAGTAAAAGTAGGACTATGCCTTGGTGTGTTCATGTGCTGGAGAGTTGTGGCTAAAAGCTTATCTGACGCTGACCTTGCTTTGATAGTGATGGGAGCTTCCCAAATGATGAAGGTGCCAGCCAGGAGGTATCTGAGTCACTGTTCATAGGTGAAAGCAAGAATTATGGGTTTCCAGGCGGCCAAAATAAATATGCTGGAACTGGAGGAATAGACAACAAGACACGCACTCTGCCTAGAAATCGGTACGTATGTTACGAGTGAAGGAAGTAGAAATGATACAAGAAATATTCTCTGTATCAGGTGTAAACAGCCTTCTTGTGTGAGCTGTGAGAGATTAGAACTCTGTTGAAGGTGATGCTCTCTTTTTCTTTTCAATACTTTTTGTGGAGCTGTGTCGCTTTTGCCTTTTTCCTGAGTCAGTTTTCATCTGATGCTACCACAGGTCGCTTTTCAGTAGCAATTTAAGTTATCCTGCTCTAATGAAACCTTAGCTTAAACAACATTTGGGCCTGCAAGAGAGAAAGAAAAAGCTTTCAACGTAAAAGGATTTCAAGGGTCAGTTTAGGACTAGAGACTATCTGCCTGTGACAAATCTAGTCTGTGACCATGATCCTTTTCTTCTCTCTCTGGCTTGCTGTGATGCTTGTTTAACATAGTGCCAAGTCCTACCTTTGCCACAGAATAGGAAAGAAGGGTGGGGAAGGTCTAGGCCACCCTGATTTTGGCTGATTAGACGTTTGGAGGGGAGAAGTTAATGTGACGGTGATATATGAGGTATTCAGTCTAGTTGGGCAGAATGGCAGAACAGTGGAGGTTGAAAGGGACCTCTGGAGGTCATCTTGTCCAACTCCTCTGCTCAGGCAGGGCCACCTAGAAGTGACTGTCCAGGACCATGTTCAGGCAGTTTTAGAATATCTCCAAGGATGGAGACCACAACCTCTGTGAGTAACGTGCTAGTGCTCAGTCACCCTCACACTGAAAAAGTTTCTCCTTATGTTCAGGAGGAACTTCCTGTTTTTCTGCTTGTGCCCATTGCCTCTGGTCCTGTCCCTGGTCACCACTGGAAAGAGCCTGGCTGCGTCATCTTTGCACCCTCCCTTCAGAGATTCTTATATATTAATGAGTTTCCTGCTAGAGCTTTCTCTGTTCCAGGCTGAATCGTCTGAGATTTCCCAGTGTTTCTTCCTATAAGAGGTGCTCCAGTCAATCATCTTGGTGGCCCTTCATTGGATTCTCTCCAGTAGCTGTCTTATACTGGAGACAAGCACTCTAGATGTAGCTTCACCAGTGCTGAATAGATGGGAAGGATCACCTCCCTCCATTTGGCAACACTTCTCCCAGTGCAGCCTGGGATACCATTTGCCTCTTTGCGGCAAGGGTGCAGTGTTAACTTGTGGTCAATTTAGCTTCCACCAGGACCTATAGATTCTTTTCACTGACACATAGGGTTGTTCCTCTCTAGGTGCAAAGCTTTGCACTTCCCCATGTTGAACTTTGAGGTTCCCATCTGCCCATTTCTTCAGGATGTCGAGGTCTGTCTGGGTGGTAGCATGACCCTCTGGAGTATCAGCTGCTCCTCAGAGTTTTGTGCGCTCTGCAAACTTGGTGAGACTATTCTTAGCCCTATCATCCACATCACAAATGGAGATGCTGAACAGGATTGAACCTAGTATTGACCCCTAGGGTGCACCACTAGTTACTGGCCTACAAGCAGACTTCATGCCACCACCCTCTGGGCCCAAACAGCTAGTTTTTGATCCACCTCACTGTCCTTTGATCCAGCCCATAGTTCATGAGGATCCTGTAGGACACAGCGTCAAAAGTCCTACTGAAGTTTAGTTAGGCCATGTGCATTGCTGTCCCCTCAGCTATCAGGCCAGACATTTCTTCAAGTTGGTCAAGCATGACTGCTCCTTGGTGAATCCATGCTGATTACTCCTGATGACTTTCATGTGCTTCATATGCCTTGAAATGGTTTCCAGGATTAGCTGCTCCATTACCTTCCTGAGGATCAAGCTGAGGCTTACCAGCCTGTAGTTCCTTGAGTGTTCCTTCTTGAAGTTGTAAGTGATGTTTGTTTTTGTCTAGTTTACTGGCACTTCTCCCAGTTGCCATGATCAATCAAAGAGCAGGTGGTATTGTTCTCCTGCTGTACTTCCTGTATTGGGAAAAGAGTACATTTGTGAATGCACAGTGATAGCTCTTCTAACAGGAAAATTCAAAAGATTGAGGGAGTTTTTGACTCATTAGATAAGGGAAGAAACAAGATTTCCTATACTAAGATCTAACCTGCAACTCATTCTCTTAATGTCACTTTCTTGATTCCTCTGAGAGGAAATGTACTTGTGACACAGATTCAGGCTTATCATGAGTTTTGTTACAGGATGCTATGAATATTTGCTTGCATTAACAGGACATTTCCAATCAGAGGCTTTCAAATTTATGATGGACCTATTCACCTCACCAAGTGCACATTCAAAAACTTTGTGCCAACTCCAGACAGATTTACCAGTGCAGTTGGATTCTTGATGAAAAATCCATGGCAGATGACACCAAAAAACAACATTTCTCTTGTGAAGTTTGGTCCAAATGTAAGTTTATTACAAGTTTTCTTTTATTCTTGCAAATGACTTTCTTTTCTTTTTGCTGTATTTAAAATAAACTTCCAAGAACCCTAGATCATCTTTTCCATACATCCCTATTCCAGAGTTTCTCTCTTGATTGGAAGTCACCCAAGGTGTATCCTTTGTCTCCTGAGCAAAAAATAATACCAAGGGAGATGCAGGATATGTTGCAGTAATGGTCTCTTTCATGGCTAATGATACAGCTGAAAGGAGATTTTTGCAAGGTTTGGTATATCCTTAGTAATGAATTTTCAGTTGCAAATATTAACGCTGTTTGGAAGCAAGAGCTGGCCTGAGCCTATTACTAAAAATCAAAATGTCCGTTTTGCAAGACTGCACTGTTCTTGCCATAAGGTTTTTAATCAGCTTTGTCAAATTCCTGTGTTTCTGTAGGTATGCAAGTGTTTAATTAGTCTGTGCTTTGCCTGGGGAAAAAAAATAAATTTATTGTTGTTGCCAGGTTTCGTTGAGAGCCTTCTTTGGAAAACCTGGTCCCTGGTTTGAAGAAGGAGATCTGGATGGTGATAAGAACTCGATATTCCATGATCTAGATGGTTCAGTGACTGACTACAAGGATACCTATGTGGGCAGAATGGATAACTATTTGATTCAACACCCCAAATGCATTAATATTACAGAATGGAATGGAGTGGTTTGCAGTGGGACCTATGCACAGGCTAGTACTCCTGTGGCTTTCTGTTTGGGTTAAATCTACAGTATGAAAAACTTGTGGCGGCAAGGGGAGTGAAAGAACTACAAAATTACCTCTCTTGATTTAAAAATTCTTTGACATTTAAAAAATACTTTTATGCATATTGCACTTTTCAGCCAGTTGTGTATATCGTGTTCCCTTCAGCGTGCAAACTGGAAGTACAGTATTAGATGCTGCAAGGTAAAATAAAAACATTTTTGTATCAAAGGTGTTTTCTTCCACTGGAGTTACTGCAGTTCTGTCTTTTTTTGTTGTTTGTTTGTTTTTTTGTTTTGTTTTGTTTTAACGGAGATGTTAAATACCACCTTCTGAATGCACATCTCACAAAGGTTTGGTTCCCATTCTGGTTCCTGTTCTATATGAGTTTGGCCAAATACCATAGCTGATTCTATGGTTCGACTTTTTTTCTTCACCTCTCTCCCCACTTTTTCTCTGTAAAATGGGCAAAATCTACAATAGTTTTTTAAAGTAGGGCTCTTCTTCAGGAGATATTTGTGTATTGCGTCACTCAGAACATCAAGTTGCAGCATTTTGACTAATAATGTACTGGTTATTCTTCACTATTTCATTTAGTTTTGCACAGTGTCCAAATCTTTCCTCTTTCTTTCATCCTCCTTAATACCATGTAGGTTTATGTCCAAACCTGGAACGGACAGAATCTTTCCATGACTATCGTACGAGATGAGTACCCAGCCAATCCCATGGTTCTGCGAGGTATTAATCAGAGAGCTGTCTTTCAACAATACCAGCCAGTGGTGATGCTCCAAAAGGGCTACACGATACATTGGAATGGAAAAGCTCCAAACGTCACCTATCTTTATCTCATTAACTTCAACAAGTATGTTTACTTTCTTTCATGTCATTGATCCATAAGGCAATAGTGAATTAATGTCCTGGAGAATTAGCATGCGTGAGAGTTTGCAGCCATCAGTAAGACTGAATCTTGGGTTGTTTTTTTCTCATAATAACAAATGTTGAAGTATGAAAAGCAAGAGATTAAGCAATAGACCTACACCTAAAATTAAACTTTTGTGCAATACAGTGTCTCCAAGGAAAATCCTTTGTAGAAGAAAAGGTGCAAATAATGAAGTTGGGAGGAATTGGAGTTGAATAGTTTAGCATACTTGATTTTGTTGTCAGATACATTTGATTTTATACTTTGGATATTTAATAAGTTTATCCTGAGAGTATCAAAGTTACTATAATGTTTAATGAAACACTTTGTGTAGAGAGGGGAAGAAAGATCTTCTGGATCTGGTTTGGGACCTTTTTGTGTTCCAGTTACTTTTTTTTTTTTTTTTTTGAGTGATCTGTTGGCTGTATATTGTCATCTAAACTGTTCCTACGGTGTATCATACATTTTATTTTGTTTTCAGGAATGACTGGATTCGAGTTGGTCTTTGTTATCAACCAAATACGGATTTTGTTATAGTATTGGAAACCTTTCAAAGACGGTCATCTGCTCTGTCAAGCAAGGTAGAGCGCTACATGCCTGTATCTTCAATGGCGGAGCTCGAAAAGAATCGATCGGAGAAGAAGTTTTACTTTGACAACAGTACTGGGTAACTCCTTGTAGCTTGACCCCATTGGAACATGTTGTTTAACCTGATAACGTCCAGTTTGATAGTGTTAAAAGTAACTGACTGAGACACCTGCATAAGAGGAAAGCTATTGCAAAGGAGCCTAAAGCCTATTTGAAAGAATACTTGACGTGACTTTGACATACAGTGGTTGTCATTGAAATACTTTCCCAAGAGCACCACAGTTGCCCTGGATATTTCCTACCCTGTGCCTGGGGAAAATGTGGTATCCGCTGTGCTGCAGAGCAGTGTCTTTCAGGAAGTAACTTCTAAGTCTTCAAAGAAAATCTGTGCCTTTGTGTTAAACTGAAAATTCTAGATATTTCCAAGAAGTTTTCTGTTTCAAGAACATTTTAGAAATATGTTTCATAAAATCCTAATCCGTTTTCAGCCTTCTCAAAAGCACTTAAACGTCCTGGTCTCTCTTTCAGAAGTACTTCTGACAGAGACCATTGAGATCCTTGTGAGAGGTTTAAAACGTGGTCAACTTTGAGTATATTAAGTCCTACATCTTGTTGTAGGATGTTGTACGTCCATACATCACTTGTATGTTTTGGAAATGTTGATCTTTAATTTATAATTTATTCTCTTATTTATTTTGTTCCCTTATCTGCTACTTTGTCTGTCTGTAGTAAATATGCAGATGAATGTAGCCCTTGAAAAGATGTTTACATTTCTTTTGTCTAAAAGCTACAGTGATAACAGTCAAATATATAATAGAAGAATTACCAGTCTCTTGTGTACTGGGAACGTTAATGACCACTACCCCTCAAGTTCCATTTCCAGGCATTTGCAACAGTACAATTATGTTGTCCAGTGCTGGTGGGTGAAGCCGAGTCCAAACAGTTACTTCTGGGTATCTGTAAAGGTCTATAATCAAAGAAAATATTTATGCTTTGTGGTTTGTTTTTTGTTTCCTGCAAGCTGCTGGTGTGAGGAGTGGCTGTTCTTTTCAGACCATTTGCATTTATAATGATGTCTCCTTTAATTGTTGGGAATTTCAGATATGTCAGTAGAAACTTTGTAACTCTAGTAAACTGTAAATATTTTGAAAAAGTTTGAACAATGGGGCAGAAGTGAGTATTGTAGTTTCTCTGCTTCTGAAAGTCATGAAATATGGCTGTTTAACATAAATACCTGTATTTCCAGGAACTGACCTAGGTTTTTTTTCCTCCTTTTGTGTAGATTACTGTTTTTATTTCTTCAAGCCAAATATAATAGGGATGGTCACAGTTATTGCTCATCTCAGGGATGTGAAAGGATCAAGATTGTGACCAAAGATTCAGCAAAAGGGATCAGTAACTGCATGGCAAAAGCTTACCCAAAGTACTACCAAGGACCAACTGTCATAAAGCGGATGCCAGTCAAAACTACTGTACCATGTACAAAATGTGGCACAACTCAGGTAAAATAAAATAAGCGAAGACTTTCAACTGTATGATTAGTGGTGTTGCCTGCTCGCTTTAAGGCAGAATTTCAGTCTTTCAGCACAGAATTCTGCACCTACCGGTTTGCGATAGTCACGTTGTTAATCTCCTGTGTATCAGAAGGCAGAGTCTCTGGTAGCACAAAGGTTTTGGGTTTTGTTCTTTGAAAAATGCTGCTTCACCTCTCACTCTGAGTACCATGGAGAAGGGACGTAGGTAGATCTGATGTCTGGTACTACATGTACTACAATATTGTCTGTAATCCACGTAGGATAGCTTTGCTGCAGAGATCTATATGCTATTGGCCAACTTTCTCTGCCTCTTCTTTTTTGGATCTGTGCTTAATAGCATGACCTTGAAATTACATTATCCATTTTAGCTATACAAGCTGAGAAATGTACTGGAAGTAGGGAATAAAATGGGTTATGCTATGCGTCATGGTATTTATTAGCATTTCTAGTGCTGCGCATAATGCCACTGACGAATGCATTTGCTTTCAAGCATAGGCGGTCTGTTGTAAGTTGTCTGGCATGATAAAGTGTTTGAGATACATGGATAGGTGTACTTAATGTGTTTTGTTTGGTATCCAGATGGTATTCACCAGCGATCCTCACAAAAACTACCTCCTTGTGCAGATTAATTCGTCTGGTAAAAAAGAGTTAAGCAGAGGTCAGCAAGCATTTATTTCTGTAAGTATTCTTTATGGTTTGCTTCTGTCTTTCTCTTTAGAAGTCTATATTACAACAGTTGTATAGCTCTACATAATTCCTGCCCCTCTTTTCTTAGCTTGAGTGCAGGGCGTTGGTTCACAGTTTAAAAACCAAACAATCAAAAAGCTGGTGTTCTAACCTCAGAAAACAGGGCTCCAAAGCTCCATTTTGTATTCGAGTCCTTTCCTGCTGGAGAGAAAAATCCACGTTATTGAAATCAGTTTTGTACTAACAGATTGGTGGGTTAAAGGGATGAGACATTCAAGCTACTAAGCTTTGCTAAGCTCCTTCAAAGTGGCAATTACTAAAGAATCCATGGAGATATCTGTATTTGTTTTGATGCAGTCCTGATAAGCCTAGTGATGTATACTGTATAAAAAGTAGTTTACTTCAATTTTTCTATTGGGATGCTGAAGGACACTTGAACGTGATGCTGAAATAGCATTTGCAGACATCCTCGCATCACAAAGCTTAAAGTCTGTATGTGGCTTACGTTCTGCAATGCCAGTGTGTTACCTTGGTTGAAATGGTAACACTCTTGAGTTACTGAGAGAGACAAACGGCACGTGAGCAGCGTAACCTTAGCAGCTGCAAACTTCTATAGAAATGCGTGTGCTGTATCCAAAGCAGTAAGAGTGCTCTGGAGGAGAAACAGGGCTAGAACTGGGCCGCTGCAGAGACAGATTAACCATGCTATTGCCAGGAAGTCCAGGTGCTTCAGTGTCTGAATTTTAGCTTCCCAAAGCAGGAGCAATGATCGAGTCAGGTAGTAAATCACCTGAAATGTATGATCTCCCTGTAGAAGCCAGGAACTGAAGGCTCCCATGCAATTTCAGAAGTCCCACTGAAAGCCTCCCCTTGGGGCAAAATGAAGAGATACTAGGGAGAAGCAAGTATTTGTAAGGAAATTTGTGCACACTGTGTCTAAACCAAATGAAGACTTTACACTGAGTGCAGTAGAATCGATGTTGAATTCATACCAACTTTAAGAAAGAAAGTGAACGTTCTTTTTCTCTTTTTCTGCTCCCATTCAGGTCAATGACACTATGTTTTCCTTCAAGGATAATGGTATACTTATTGTTGTAGTTGATGCCTGCATTGGCATGGTGTTGGAAAAGAGATTATTTTCTGGAGTAGACATTAAGCATGTGGATGGATATTTAAAATCTGGAATTCCACAAAGGTATGTGCAATGACCATTTTATGTCCAGTGAGCTGTAGCTCTGCTCTCTAATGAGAATTTAAGTAATGATGTCTATACAGGAGTACTGAAAATGAGCAAAATACCTGTCTAAGTTGAGGAGAAAGGAGAAACATAGGAGCATTTTAACAGACAATTTAGCTTTATTTGAGAAAACAAAGCAACTCAGATTTGAATGCTTAAAATTTTCCAGTGTTGCTTCTTTCACCTGCAAAAAGAAACTTTATTTTTAACTAAACATCATGTAGTAACACTTCTTTGCTTAAAACAATAGCTTTTTGTTTAATAAGATCACTTAAGGACACTGAGAAGAACTGTGTGACAAGATGTCATACTGTTCTCTCCCTATCTAGGGAGGGAATAGCTTATCATTAAAGAAAGATAAAAAGCTACTAACAGAAAAATCAGCACTCTAATCTAACTTTGGATCAATATCTAAACTTGATTTTTTGATACAAAATATGAAACTATTTAAATAACACTTTCCAATGATTTTGAAATTAAATTAAAAAAAAAAAAAATTCTAGGTGGGTGCTTTTCTAGGTACTGCTTTCAGAGAGGGTTGACTATTTCCATGTCACGAAACAACATTGCATGAGTACTGTTAAGCCAGCTAGGTGTAACTGCATGAAGCAGAATATTACGAAAACTTCATGTTTATAACAGCTGCTGTCTCTGCACCTATTCTGCTGCAGGTCTATCGTTCTACTGAGCACAAGAGGTGATGTAGCAATTCCTAGTAATTTATCCGAAGCCTTAATGTCTCTGGGGACAGCCAAACCGCCTTATCTTCAGAGCTACGGTTGGTGGAAACTTTGCACATTTCTTTGACACCACCTCGGTCTATGTGTTTGTGTTGGCGTGGTGGGTTTCTCATGGGGTGTGTGAAAAGGATGCAGCTGGCAGAGCGTGGTTGCCAGTTTGCTCTGGTGTGGGCTGCTGTGTTTCAGCTCTTGCTGAGAGAGGGAGTGGGCAACCCTTCAGCAGATGGGGTAGAAAACCCTTCCCGTTTCCCCAAAGGGCATTGTATTAAGCTTGTTGCAAGCAGAGGAGCGACTAGCAGTTCTTTGTGCCTGTGGGTTGCAGAAAAAGAGCCCCGGGCTTTTTTCCCAAAGCCTGTATTTTGTGCCTCACCCAGCCAATCTATTTTTAGACAGTCTCCTGTGCCAGGCTAGTATTCCCTGTTCTAACAAAATTTGAAGGTAGGGAAGAGAATCTGTTGGCGTTTTGAGGGAGGATCACTTTATGGGCCACATGGGGTAGCTGTCATCCATTCGGGGCCCTGGCACAAGTCCTGTCCGAAAAAGCAGGTTTTATAACTGCTCCAACAGCTGTGTTTTCAAATTAAAGATTTCAGAGTATTTAATACTGAATATTGGAAAACAAAATTACAAATCAATATTTCCTTTCGAGGTGCATGCGAGTGGGTTAATGTCCTGAATAACGTGGCGGGGAGAGTTTTAGAGGAGGATGCCGTTTCCTTCCCAACGGGTCCCGTGTTGTGCTTGGATGGGCTTGGCTGGTTCAGTAACACTGAGCTGTTTTTGTCACAGGAAGCCTGGCCTTTCTGGGCTTCAGAGGAAATTTTAAGCCGTCCTGGATTAAGCTGTTTACTGGTCCTGCTGGGCATGGGCTCGTTCAGATAGAAAAGTATATCCCTCTACAACTGGAAGAGTATGGCTGTGCCAGAGCAATCAAAAGCCGACGGAAAGACCTCGAGCTTCTGAAGAAGGCTATACGATCTCATTAAAGACTAAGATGTACATAAAAGCTGGGGAAAAAAATGTGAACTAACTTATTTTTTAATTTATGGCATTTTTAAACTATATTGTTATCCAAGTAAATCATGTTATTGTCTGACAGATGTTTGCCAGCATTGACCGCTTGAATGCCAATCTGTGCACCTTCTAGTTGTACAAAATATTAAAGAATTTATTAGTATTTGTATAAACAGGTTTCAGAGATTTTTCAGATGTTTGTATTTACTGTAAACAAGTTCCTTCTGTTTAATACTCCTTTTGTATGTAAGAGGGTGTTCATAAAAGCCTTAAACTTTTGGTGACAGGTGTTGGAGTGCATCTTGGATTACTTGAAAGATTAACATTAAAGTCTCCACAAACAGCTTGGATTGGTTGTTATAACTTATGCATTTCCCTCAGCTGTTTTCCCGAGGGTTTATTTAGCAGTCAGCTCAGTTACATTCTCAGTCTGCTTTCCAAGGTGTTAAAAACCAATTTCCCTCATGCATGCAGATGACTCAAGGGCTTTAAACTGCAGTAAAATTATTGCTTTGCTGTATGAAAGATGGAGAGGGGGGATTTGAAGGTGCTGCCTGGGGCTGGGTGAGGACTGTGTACCGTGCAACTGAGTTTAACAAGGCTATGTGTGCCAGCATGTCATACAGAGCAGAAAATGACAACCATTCTTTGGGGTCAGCGTTTACTATTCACCCCTAAATACCCAGGTGTCCGTTAAGAGTTACTTCAGTAATCATTCTGGGTGTTAAGGCTGCAGTTTTGGGTACAGCTTGACTACAGCTTTTTCTTTTAAAGCTTTTAGCTTAGAAGGGCAAAGCTGAAATACTGTTATTCTCAATTTGGTATTAGATGGAGCTTGTACTCTTGCAGTGATTTTTGGTTGGTTTTTTGTTGTTGTTGTTTGGCTGTTGTTTTTTGGTTTTAAGGCTATCCCAGCTCTAACTTTTAAGGGAATGGAAGGTGCTCTCAGTTCGTTGAGGCATGTTATGTCTTTTGCCTTAACTTCAATTCTTTCGATATACTCATGTTGCTAATTCCTATGGATTTTATATTAGGTCCATTTGATTACTTTCGGTCTTGTTGCAATTATTTCACCCTTTCTGCAGATAGCATGAAAATAATTTAGAAGAACTGAGGCACAGCTGCCCTCTTTCAGGATCCTAGTCTTTGAAATTAAATTTCAGAGACTACTGTAAAGATGCATTTCATAATAGGGAACAGTTGGTGCCATAGAGCTAAAATGTAACCATAGTTCTAATAAAACTGACATACTTGTATATGTTCTCATTCATTCTAGCTGATGTAATGTATCTACCATTCAGAGGTGTTTTGTGCTTTGAGTTCAAAATGGAGTGGCTGTTAGAAATTAACTATATGCCTGTCTTCTCCAAAGAAATACTGTGGGGATTTTTTTTTTTGTGCTTTAAAGGAGAGGAGGCACAGTAGCAGACCTATTATTCTGTTCAGTTAAAATACGCTACCTCAGTGCTACAATTAAACTGCCTGGTCTAGTATAGTTTCCTAGATGAGAGGGGAGGGGAAAGGAGCACAACACAAGAGATTGAGTTAATAAATAAATAACTGATGTTATTTTTATTGTAAAACCAAGCCAAAATGGGCGATTGTGTATTTTGCAGTTGTTTTGGTGCACAGTTATCCTGAAATGTTAAAAAAAAAGAAAAAAAAAGGAGGTGTGTTTTATTAGGGGGAGATGTGGTAAATCTTTAAGACTAGCTGTAATGTTTGGTGTTACAAATGCAGGGCAATGTGATTTGAATGCTCTGAGTGCAGTAGTGATAGTGTTTGGGGATTAAAATGGTTTTAAGACTTCCACTGTTCTGTGGGTCATGCTCAGCAAAGAAATACCGGTGAGGTAGTGACCTTCAGGCTTGTGAAGTTGGCCATTATTTATGACATTCTGCTGTTCCAAGCCATCTTGTAAAAATTGTATTTGGAAGTGTCAAGGGTATTCTGATGTAGGGCTTACCGATGGACAATTGGATCTGAAGTTGAAGTGTTGTCTTTTGTGGAAATTTAAACACTTGATAAATAGCATAAATAAATTTTTACACGTGACAAGGCAATACAGTTTTGGGTCTCTTCTGTTCTTTTAGCAAGTAATTTTGTAATGTGCATGGTGCGAATACTAGAAACTATTTTATTTCCAACACCAATAGACCTGTGCCGTTTATGGAGTGTGTCCTACTCTTGATTCAGAGAAAATTTGGCAATACAGGGAAAGGAGACACCAGTGGTGACTGAAGTTATGGGCCTGTCTCCGAAGTCTGTCATCTTAAAGTCTATCTGAGCTGCTAATGGAGCGTAGAGTCATTTCAGCTTGGTGGGGGCCAGTGCAGTATTGTTGTCTGCTCGGGGTCATCTTACCCATTCCTCTAACTAGCTGGTGGGAGAGTAAAGAAGATGGAGCCAGGCTTTTCTTGATGGTGCCCAATGGCACAGGACAAGAGGCAGTGGGCACATCTTGAAATGCAAGCAATTCCACATAAACATAAGAAAACCTTTTACTGAGAAGATGTCGGAGCACTGGAACTGATGGCCAGAGAGCCTGCGGAATCTTCCTCTGCAGAGGAGCAGCAGTAGCTAACCCTGCTTTGAGGCACCCAGTGTCCCGGGCCATCTCCAGAGGCGGATGCCAGCCCAGGTGCCACTGTGGTTATGTGTGGTTAAAACGACCAACCTAACTAGCCTCTCTTTTCCAAGTGCACCAGCCGCTGCAGCCTGCAAGGGCTGAGACACACACTTTTTACCTCATGCCTGAAACTTGGTAGGATCTTAAAAATGAGGTGTCTCTGCCCCAAACTCAGTCCAAAAGGCATTGTAATTGCCTCTCCATGGTCAGGCTTTCTGTACAAATAGATTGATTTCCATTCCTTACTCAAATGGTGTCATTCTGCAGTAAAGAAATTAAAAAATAACTGGGCTAGAGGAAGGAAGGTGAGTTTAAAGCTTTAATGTAAAGCGTTAGAGCTTTTTAAGGCACATCTGGACTCATGTTCTTGCTCCAGGGGTTGTTTTTGTGTTTTATTTAGTAATTGTTACATTTTAAAAATGACAACAAAGAATCAATAAAAGAAAAATAAACTACTTGGAGCAAGGATCAGATTAAGTGTACTTAATTTAAGTGGCCAGGCACACTGGCTGGCCATAAGGCATCACTGAAAATCCACTATATGAGGGGCTGGAGACCCATCCCTAAAGAGCAGGGATGACGTCAAGGACAAATTTCAGGAAAAGATAGACTTAATTCTGCATGTTGTGGGAATGCAGAGGCAGCTGAGGCCCCAGATAACTTCTGACCCAAGGCATGAAAACAAGTTTTCCTGTTTGAGGCAAGTCCTGTGATTTCCTCTGCTTCCCCTCAACTCCTTTTTACGTTACATAGGAAGGATGTACATCTGAGGACAGGCACCCAGCTCTGTCTGAAAAGCCCAGTCCACGGGGCTTGATGATAGCTGTATCATATGGCGCAGTGGTCAACGAAGGTCAAAAGGGTATGTCACGGCTGTATTTGTTTAAGGTGATCCTGGTGTCATACTAGTGTCCAAAAGTCTATGAAGTGCAAAGAAAAGCAGTAACTTCTAAACTTCAAAATTGCATTTATGTGAGCTTTTCCCAGTAATTCCTTTTCCACCTCTTCTGAACATACTTGTTCTAGCACTTCTGGGTGGGTTCTATCCTTTCCTTCAATTTGCAAGCATATTTTTCTTTTCTAATGCCTTCTTTTTTCTTTCCCTGTGCCTTGTGCTAGTTAAAATTCTAAATAATACTTGGTCTTGAAGTATATAAGGCCACCTTTGACGTGAGAAAATTAGTAAGCTTTTTAATAATATGGCCTGGGAGTACTGCAGTTTAACACACTAAATTATATTAACAATTGTAACTTGCTAAAAAAAAAAAAAAAAAGAAGACCAGGTTCGAGACCATCTAAAGAACCTGAAGGTGGACAAGTCCATGGGACCTGATGAGGTGCATCCGCGAGTCCTGAGGGAACTGGCAGATGAAGTTGCTAAGCCACTATCCATCATATTTCAGAAGCTGTGGCAATCTGGTGAAGTTCCCAATGATTGGAAAAAGGGAAACATAGACCCCATCTTCAAAAAGGGGAAAAAAGAAGACCCAGGGAACTACAGGCCAGTCAGTCTCACCTCTGTGCCTGGCAAGATCATGGAGCAGATCCTCCTGGTGACTATGCTAAGGCACATGGAAAACAAGGAGGTGATTGGTGACAGCCAACATGGCTTCACTAAGGGCAAATCCTGCCTGGCTAATTTGTTGGCCTTCTATGATGAGGTTACAGCATTCATGGATAGGGGAAGAGCAATTGACATTGTCTACCTGGACTTATCCAAAGCATTTGATACTGTCCCACACGACATCCTCATCTCTAAACTGGAAAGATGTGGTTTTGATAGATGACCCACTCGGTGGATAAGGAATTGGCTGGATGGTCGCACTCAAAGAGTTGTGGTCAACAACGATTCTATGATTCAATGTCCAAGTGGAGGCCAGTGACGAGTGGTGTTCCTCAGGGGTCGGTACTGGGACCAGTGCTATTTAACATCTTTGTTGGAGACATGGACAGTGGGATTGAGTGCACCCTCAGCAAGTTTGCAGATGACACCAAGTTGTGTGGTGGTGTGGACACGCTGGAGGGAAGGGATGCCATTCAGAGGGACCTTGACAGGCTGGAGAGATGGGCCTGTGAGAACCTCATGAAGTTCAACAAGGCCAAGTGCAAGGTCCTGCACATGGGCTGGGGCAATCCCATGCACAAGTAGAGGCTGG